GCATCAATTAGGCAGACAAACAACTGTTGCAAGGCCTGAACGATGTATTTGAATAAGTTAGTTTATTTGGAATTGATGGGAGATTAACATAGCGTGTATCTATAAGATACATTTGAGTAAATATAGAAGGAGATAGCAACTTATGATACTTTGAGAGTATATTGAATATATATGAGTATATGTATCTATAACGTATAAATGTATCTATAAGACACCTAGAAGTGTAAAGAATGTATCTAAAGATGCATAAGGTACTTATAGATACTATTCATATCAAAAAGAATTGCAAATATCTGTGATACATAATATATGTATCTATAGTCATATACACATATGCATATGATACACGCTGAATCTTCATCGTCATCTTTAAGCTCTTCCTCTTCCTGTCGTCATTAAATTCAATTTTCCATATGGCGCACTAATTGCGTACGCTGCTTATTTGCAGGCACTGTTCAAGCAATTGGCATATATTAAAACGAGCACATTAAAAAGGAAGTTGCATGCGGGCGAGGGTTGGGGGCGTGGCAGAATTTGCAAAAAAAAGAAAGAGAGAAAACGAGAAGCATAAAATTGTGTCGCTTGTGTCGCATAAACAGCACAAAGGAAAATATTTCAATTTATTGCGAATTGAATTAAATTGAAGCGCATTGAAAAGGCCGCCAAAATAAAAATCCCCAATCAAAAGCGACAGCACGGGCTGCAGTAGAGGGAGGGTGTGTGTGTGTGTGTGCGTTGGCGGCACACTTTGGACGTGCTGTCAATTGAGCTTTAATTGCCATGCGGCTCATTGCGCATACGCCGCGTGAGCCGCAAGCAAAAGAGCCAAGCTCTCCAGCCCTCTCACTCTCTCTCTTTAACTTGCTGAGCATAAAAGGTGTAAGAGAGAGATAGGTAGAGAGAGCGAAACATATGACAAGTGTCATTTGCTCTGCGCATATTTATGAGCCGCTGACAGCTCAAAGCTTAAGCACAACTGGACTTCACTTCAACTAGAACTTGGCCTGATGTCGGGCGAATAAGAAGAAGCTGCAACTGCAGCAGAAGTCACGGTTGCTGTTGTTGCTGTTGTAGCTGCAGGCCTGTCAACATGACACAAACTGACCAAGGAACGAGCAGAGAGGGGAAGAGGGCTGGGTCGGCGCAACTGACCAAGTCTAAGCAGCTGGCTAAGCCAAGTTAATGAGAAATGGGACCAGGCAGCCAAAGCAGCCAAACGCGGCGAACGTGACGCATGGCAACTACAAAGCGCAAATAGGCCGAGACAGAGTGGAAGAAAAGCGTGCAAGAACTTTGCTAATAGGGGCATACCCGACTAAGCAGATACGCTGGAAAGCAAAAGAGTTTTAGGCAAAGATAAGAATTGTATAAAAGTGAAGTTTTCTTCTGTTTAGATTGAAACAGGCTAAAACTGTCAAGCTGTCAAAGTGCCGTTAGTTGCATCTTGCAGTCGTGAAAGCATTTGTAACCATATGACTCTCAAACTGTGGTGGAAAAGAAAGGAATGTGTAAAGGGTGGAACGACAGGAGAAATAGCTTTATAAATAGACAGAAATTCAAAGATATTTCATAACTTTATAAACACAAATGAGTTTAAGGATTTTTACAAAACCAATATACCCTATATATACTTGTCTAAACAGAGTATAAGAGACAAGGGTTGGGGGCATGTGAGCAACAGCAGCAGCAGCCGCCGCCGCCGCCGTACTCGGTTGTCCAGTTAAAAATTTAACGACAGTTGCTTGTTGTGGCTAATAAAATAAATGTGAGCCGCCACACACACTCACACACACATTCGCACACACACAGCTAAATAAAGACTTGTTACAACAGCGAGCAAATGTTTTTTTCCGGGAAGACATTTGAGCAAATGTTGTTGTTGTTGTTGTTGCTGCTGCTGCCACTGACAAACGCTCAATAAGAGCCACACAGAGCATCATTAAAGCAAAACTAAATAGCCGAGAGGACAAAGAAAGAGGAGCCCAGCCGGGCTAGGCAGGCCGGCAAGAGCGAAAACCCACCCACTCGCAAAACTGGCTGTCAAACTGTGTCTGCGATTTATCTGCATACAGTCAGCGACATTTGACATGCGTTTGTTGTGTTGCATGCAGCGCGGACGAAAAGCAAATCAGATGCTAACTAAGCGAACTGCCAGACAGGCTGACAAACCTGCCAGACAACTGCCAACCGAGAGTATTAGACATGCAGATAGACAGAGACAGAGACAGAGAGAGAGAGAGAGAGATATGAATACGGTAGCCTTTGCGAATTTTCGTGGCTTTGCATATTTGGTGAAAATCGTTCAATCAAAGTCGAATCGCTGCAGCACGGCAGCAACTGTCAGTAATTTATGCTCATTTGTTTGTTGCATGAATAATTTGAATGCCACTTGAGAGCAGTTTCTCTCGCAGCAGCAGCCAGCATAAAAATTGTGTTTGACCATAAACACGATTTCGATTCATATATATTGTATATTTGATTTGTATGGCGGGTCGAACAAAAGTGAGCCAAATAGATCGTAGTTTAAGCTGCATGCGAGCTAATAGAGCGCTATGACTGTGAAATTCCCCGAGTGGAGTTAGTAAAACTCTTGAGTGGAACCTTGGAATGGTCATTAGGGAGGAGGAAGAGCAGGAGGTGAAGGAAAAAATCCTCTTAAACATTATTTAAGTATTAAAATTCTATAGTATTTATCTCTTCTGCTGTTGTATCTGTGAAATATTAGCTCTTTAGACTCGCTTCAACAAGTTTTCTAACCAATCTATTAATAAGATGTCGCATAAGACTTAGTAGAGTCATGTCTCTCCCCTATATCATATAGATAGATGTTGCAGTTATGATTCCTCTCTCTCAATATGATATCATAGTGATAGCTACTTAAGCAAAATTATAACTAAATTTGCATCTGCACTTATTAACATAAAACCCAAGCATACCCTGTAATTTTGTACCAACATATACTCAGCATACCCGCTGTTGTCCGCGCCAGACTGACCAATGCAGGCAAGTTAAGAGCTGAAGAGTTGTTGCTGTTGCCATTGGCCTTTTATGGCAGGAGATCGGAGTGGAGTGGGGTTGAGTGGAGTGGACTGGACTATGGACAGCAGCACAGCAGCACAGCAGAGAGAGAGAGAGGCACATTAAACAGGCGTCTATAGTGTGCAACAGAGGCAGCAACATGGGGCAGCAACACAAATAGTTTCAAATGCAGCACAAACCAATCAAATTGAACGCATTTTCTCGATGTTGTTGTTGTTATTGTTGCTGCCTGCTCCATATTGCTGTTGGTCGCATCAAAATAATTGGCTGCCTGCAGCAGCAGCAGCAGCAGCCGCTGCCACTGCCACTTGAAGCAAATCAAACTTGCAAGCCAATTGTTGCATGTCAGTTAGAGTGTTGTTGTTGTTGTTGTCGTTTGTTGTTGTTGCTGGCAACAGTTGCTGCTGCTGCTGACCTGTTCAGTGCAGCTCTCCTTTAATAGTGTGAAAACTACAACTCGATATGGCAGCTGCAATTGTCTAGGCACTTAAAAGGAGCCCCTTTCCTCTTCCCGCTCCCATCTCTCCCTCTCCACCTCTCTCTCATCCCCCTCTCATACTCTTCGTCTGCAATCAAAATAAAGCGCATTGCACGCTGCAAGCCATTGCAGCCAAAAGCCTGAAACGTGCCTGTCGGGCATTTCAACAATTTTGAATAGTTAAAAGACACTCACACTCACACACACACACACTTAGGCACATGTATGTTGTTTATTTATTTATGTTGTTTTTTCTTTTCTTTTTTAATTTTGCTTGCCTCCAGTTCCCTGTAAACAATAACAAAACACATTTGTGACGCGTGATTTTGCATAAGTTGGCATCAACAAAAACTGTCGAAAGGCGACGAGACGCAATGACAAATAAAACATAGAAAATACAAGCAGACATTTGCATAGATACATATATATGTATATAGGCATGCCTATATATCTACACATAGGTATATAGCATATAAGTATATCTCATATTCCTCTATCAATCCAAATTTGGTACCTCTAGCTTGGCGAGTCTCTGAGTTCCTTGAGGCTGGATGAAAGAAAACTTATGCAAACTAACTATAAACAGATTTTTCAACAAGATTTTCTATTGGCTTAACAGATTTTATTACATAAACTTCAGGTCTTGTCTACCCTTTCAAACAAACTCTCTAGGCTATCTGTATAGGGTAGCTGAAGACCTTCTTGAATTAGCTCAAAGGGAAGCCCTATAGAAAAACCCATAGCTACAGCATTTAAACAGCTTTACTGTACATGCATTGCTTCCAGCTGCCTTTGACTGGCCTACCCTTTGGGTACATTCCTCACACTAGAGGGTATCTCTGGTTTAGGTAGCTCAAAAACCTACTTAAATCACTTTAGCTATTGAATTTAAGCAGCTTTCCTATATTTACAATACACCCAACAGCTTTTAAGTACCTTTCAGAGAAAACGTTAAACAATTCTCGTCTACCCTTTCACACACACTCCACACACTAGAGGGTATTAGAGCTCATTATAATCATGAACATTATTTAGTTAAGCTCGTATATTCGCAAGTTTTTGTCAGCTTTTTTTCTTGACTCGCATATTTTGGCTTATGAAGACATTTTTATGGCCAATTAAGCGGCGGCCACAAAATCATAAATCGCCAAACGAATTCAATTCAAACAGCTTAAAAACTCATTATGCAAATAAGCCAAGCCCCAGCTAAAAATCGGGGCTATAAAAAGCCAGAAGCGAGGGAGCGAGTGCGAGAGAGAGAGAGAGAGACAGGAAATTAGCTGGCTTTTATTTGCATTCAGCTTTTCAGCTTTTTGGCAGATCTCAATCGAAACGTAACCTTTAGCCTGAGCCTTTTGCTTGCAGTTGGGCAATTGTCGCCTGGCCTGGCAAATTGCTTGAACTAATCGACCTGGACTTTATCTAATGGCTAATTGCTGGGTATCTGAGGCGAGCTGTTTGTCGTTGTTTGGCCTGAACTCACCTGATCGCGCGCCAATTGGAACCAGGTCTTGATGATCAGCGCCAGTCGCGTATCGTGATAGTTCTTCGTTGTCTTGACGCTGATGAAAATGTCATCCAGTTCCGTGGTGGGCGGCTGGGGCGTGGCGGTTACCGCACGTTGCGACAGATCGTGCAACAGCTCGCCATTGCGACTCCGACGCGCCAGCTCTGTGAGCAGCGTTGCTGTGGGTCGTTCGCTGACCTCGATGTCGCTGAAGTTGAAGCTGTGTATGTCCTTGCGTATGATCAGCGAGGGCGTGATGGGCGTGGCCAGCGAAGAGGCCGAGTGTGTGGGTGGCAGTGAGCGGGGCAGCGCGTGTTGTTGTTGTTGTTGTTGTTGTTGTGGCAGCAGCAGCTGCTGCTGTGTGGTCGTTGTGGCAGGTTCATTGCCATCCAGCTGCGACTGCGACTGCGGCAGCTGTGGGGTGAGAAACAGCGAGAGAGAGAGAGTGGGAAAGAGAGAAGTTTTAGTGTGGGTTCAATGTAAAAGAAGAAGAACAAATATATATATATATATATGTGTGTGTATGTGTGTGTGTGTGTATATGTTTATGAAGCGCTGCTATTGCCGACAGGCATTTTCACCTGGCAAACAAAAGGCGAACTTCAATCGCAAACAACAATGGCAAACAAATGAGGGGCAGCAGACAGCGAGACAGCGAGACAGTGAGACAGAGAGACAGAACAAACAACAACAACAATCACAGCGCCATAAATGCTGAGTAAGAGCAAACAACAACAGCAGCAGCAGTCGCAGCCGCAGCAGCAGCAGCCAAACAAAGATCAGCTGCAAGATTGAAGCTTGAGCTTCATTTGGCTGACTCCCCTTCCCCCCTTGCACCTGCCGCGCACCTCTTATAGCCGAGAGCTCTAGCTCTTGGTTTGATTAATTTCGACTGATAACAGGTTCATTTGCTTTTGTTGTGCGGCAATTCTTCAATTGCTTTTAAAAGCAGAGTTTGCTTCAGCTCTCTTCCTCTCCCTCTCTCCCTGTCTTTTTATTCAACTCTTTTATCTAGACTGTGAGCGCTTGAAAATTGGAAAATCTGGAATCTGATTCAAGTTTTGATTGAAGTGAGCTGATAAAAGGGCATTTCAAGCATTGACCGAGTGGGGTCTAAGAGAGCAGGCCAAGAGGGGAAAGTTGACGAATGAACAGGGAAAAGGTTGAGAAGGAGAAGCTTGTTGTCACTTGCCAAGTGTTAATTTGGTCAGACTTTTCCGCTATGCAAATCAACAGGGCGCAGCGGGCACTTCCGTTATACAGCTGTGTATACCCTATAAATTGCTAAAGCTGCACTAAGAGAGGTTCGCTATCTTGCTATCTAACCTTGAGAACAAAGAAAACTATATTTCGAAATCAATAAATATCGAAATCACATCTCTTATCTAACAACAAATATTATATCGTATATAAATATCTATTTCATTTTCAAACTCTCCATCAATAGTCTCGCCTTCTACAGTATCTGGTCGTCTATCAGTTTGTGTTTATATATGCTCTTACAGTTATAGCTCTGTTAATGCTCATTTGCTTGGCTTTTGTGAAACTGAAAATGGAAACATTTCTACTTTAAGCCCCCATCCAGAGCGACGCCTAGGTTCCCCCCTCCCCTCAGCCGCTTGTTTCTTATTACAGGGTAAACGGGTCTTCAGCAACTGCTGCTACCGCTGCTGCTGCTGCTGCTGCTTCACACGATATTGTCTGCTTGATAGGGCTAAAGACTTGGCTCATACATTTTTATTGCGGCACGATCGAAAAACGGTGTTCAATATAATGGGCCAACGATCGAAAAGCAAGAATGAGAAGGAGCGAGAGGGAGAGGGAGAGGCGAGGGCGAGCTGTAGATGGGGGAGAAAACTCCCAGATAGAGAAGAAACGCGGCTGTTCAGCTACCGCCTAATGAGCCGCAGTCGTCAAAAGAAGCTGCTGACAGGTGGCAACTGCAAATGGCCAGACGAAGCTGATTAAAAGGAGAGCTCAAAATATTAATTAATTTATCTGAAGCCCAAGTCGTGACCCAAGCAGTGAAAGCGAATGGCAAACGAAGCGAAACACAACTAAATTTTCAATCTGGTTAAGTGCAGATCCGGCTAAAAAGCAATTGAGTCAACAACAACAAGTTAAGCAAGGCAGGGTAGCCTTGCATAGATTAGAATGTGAACCAGTTGCAGTTGCAAGAGCAAGAACAACAACAACAGCAACAACAACAGCTGCAGCTACAGCTAATATATGCAAAACATAAAACGAGCCGGGGGCAAGGTAGGGCAGGGCAGGGCAAGCTCAGCTGGCGAATTACTCGAACGTGAGCAGCGACAAATGCAATTGCAGAGAGAGAAACTTGAAGACACGTGTGTCCCCAGCTAAGCACATAGACAAACCAACAGTCGAGCACGCCTGCGCACACACGAAGCAACAAAAAATACAACAAAAACACAAGACAACAAGATACAAGATACAATATAAAAGAAACACACGCGTTTACAAAAGTGCAGAGCAATGACTAGCAGTTACCCTGTAAATGAGACAAAGCATTATCTTTTGAAAAGAATGACTGAAGTATAGATCAATAGTATCTACAGCAATGCAAAGCTGACTAAACAAAAATATACAAGGTGAAAAGTATCTACAGGTATATATGGTAAAATAGATGTAAAAGATCAAAAGTATCTACAGGCATATATGGTAAATAAAAGATCAATAGTATCTACAGCAATGCAAAGCTAAATAAGCAACAAGATACAAGATCAAAAGTATCTACACATATCTATGGTAAATAATAACAAAAAAAAGTGAAAAAAAAACTGTTAGTGAAATCGATACTTATCGATGCATACAAAAGTCGATAATAATCGATGCATACAAAAGGAGATATATATCAATCTATACCAAATCCACAAAAATCTAGCAAACAAAACTACTTCCATCTGCCTCCCACTTCTACAGGGTATCACAAAGAGCAAGCAACAAGACGCGTCGCGCTGGCGTTTTTTGTCATTGTCCAAAAATCGTATACACACACTCAAATCGTGGCCGAGTGCGATTGTGTAATGCTTCATTATGGGCATGATTAATATGTTTATAAACAATTGCCAAGTCAATTAATAATACAAATGGCCAAAACGCACATAACAATGGCCACAAAAAGGTTGAGAACTGGGAGGGGGCGCTAGATTAATGAACAGCACTGTGAACTGGCAGGTCGCGTTGAGCGTTTAAGTCTTCATTAAACTGCTGCTTGAGCAATATTAAACTGATAGATACAAATCTACGATAAGATACACACAGAAAACCAAAGGCTGGCAGAGAGACAAAGAGAGGGAGAGAGACCATATAAAGGAGCTCCGCAGCTCACTCAATTAAGTAAAAACCCGACCACCAAAGACCAGCAGCAGCATCCACTCAGCTACTCAGCTGCTCAGCTGTAGATACAAAGATACGCAGATACAACAATGTATCTGCGCATCTTACAGATACATTTCAGCTGGCAACTTTTATCAGGCTTGTTCGCCGGCTTAGTGTCGTCAACGTTTTGGCTGCTCAACACAAAACTGAGCAACTGATTATGATATGCTGGGCCAGAGAGAGGGAGCAGCAGAGCTGGAGCAGCGGGCGAAGAAGTAGGAAGCAAATACAGAAGAGAAGAAGCTGCACTAAGTGATGGAGTTAAGGCAGCAGCTGCAGCCAGCCAGCGGCACCTGCGCAGCCAGAACAGGAATCAAAAAAACTTTGGGAGCCTTGCCAAATATACTCTGCAGGAATTGTAGACGGAAGGGGTATACTACAGGGTATGCAGTCAGAATATTTAACTAGATTATGTTGTGAATAGAGCTAAACATGTTTTTTCTGTTTAATTGATTAGAACTTGTTATCATAATTCTAGTTCAGCCTTTGAAAAACCAGACCAAATTATAGTTCACAACTCGAATTCAACTAAGAAAACAGCAACTATATTATTAATTTTCATAGACTAGTTCAATGCAAGTTCAGCAGTTCATGGACGCAGAGTGTGAAGTGAATTGAGCAACTCAGTAGAGTCTAGTCTCGTTGGGTGTATTTAAAAAATCAATATGAAGTTTGACTTTCGATAGACAGCTTCATTTCGATAATTATGGAGGTTATCCATATGACAGATAGATAGAGCACAAGCCTTAGTCCATGCTACAGCTGGCAGTTGCTATGTACGGGGTATATGCTAGTCGTGCACTCTCTCTCTCTCTCTTGTCAAGAACCCTTTTCACTTTGTTTGGCCTTTGTTGTAGCCATTTTTCGGTTTCCTTTTTTCTGCGTGTTTTGCTGCCTGTTGATTTGCATGCAAAGCAGTCCTGAGTTGTTTGTTACGTGTTGCAATTGTTGTTCATTTGCTTGATGGTGTTGTATGGGCCGTTGTTGTTGCTGTTGTTGTAGCTTAGTTAGACATGCTCATAGCGCACCACACGAATCAATCAAAAACCACACGGCGCACACTTTAAACAAATTCGCATAAACAAATTCATTTATCGATCGCCAATGGATATTTATATATATTCATATGTAAATGCATATATATGTATATTTATATTCGTGATGATTTATGCATTAGCAACACGCGACATTTGGCTGAGTGGAGGTCAACTGCTGGCTGGACAGTGGACAATGCTCAGCTTTTGATTGGACTGCAGCAAGCCGAAAAGCCCAACCCAAGTTCCAAGAATGAAAAACAAAATAAAATAAAAAATAAAAAAACTTGCGCAACTTTTGGCAAAACGAAAAAAAAAAAAAAAACTAAAATTAAATAAAAGAATTAAGTTTTGCAAAGCAATGCAAAAGCTGGACACAAGTCACAGACCTCAACGAGCAACGACTTCAATTGAAAGACAGCAAAAACACCAACAACAACAACAGCATAAACAACAACAACTTTAATAAAGTCCAATTCAGCATTTGTATGTATATATGCTTATATATAAGTATGACTCGTCTTCTATATGAAGCACATTCCAAGTATTCTACATGCCACACATTGCCGGCCCCTTTTTCCGGTTAGCCAACAACAGCAACAATAACAACTAACAGTAGAAAAAGGAAACGAAACTCATAAAAAGTTTTTAATTATTTCTGGCCGCAAATTCATTTTAGAACTAACTAAAATCTAGCTAAACTTGGCTTAGCAGCTCTATTCAACTATTTGCCAAACTTCAACAAGCAATTGAATTAATTCCATTAAACTTTAGCAGAAGCAGAGGGAGAAGAACAACAGCAAAGTGAAATAGATATAAATAGTAAATAATTCTGTGCATTTGCACACGCTGCGATTTCTAATGAAGTCAGCGGCAAAAACGGCCAAGCTTCCGGCCTAAAAAAAAGCTTTAAAAAAGGTAGAAAAAGACTGCAAAAAATAGACAACAAAATGGAGTGTGTCTAAAATTTAGCTATATTTTTGTGCGCACATACATAAAATGGGTTCACTTAGAGAAAATTTTGAAATTCTTAGATATATTTATATTAGTTCCATAAGCTCTTAAAATTGCAAATAATGGCAATGAATTTAGAGATTCACCTCATTATAATGAGCAGAGGTTGAATTTATATAAAATATATTGCCACAATAATAATTCTACCAAGCTTTTGTATAAAATATCATCTATAGATTTATTGTTAATTCTTATTAGCAGTAAATAGACTCTAACTAAATTCTACAAACACTTTTAATGTATTTACAGATATTATGACAACACTTGCATAAACACATCAGATTTTAGTTTTAGAGAAGAAATAAAAGAAGAACGAAAAGATACAATAAAACAGGAAAACGATCCTATTTCCGTAAGTTTGAACAAATATAATACAAACGAAATATTTTTGAAAGAATTGCTCGATATTCATATTTAAAAATAAATAGATAAATTTCACTGAATATATTGCTATAATAGAATAGTTTTTGCTTCATATAAATACATTTCTATCCATATATATGTAATATAGATATAGATAACAAACTTGAGCATTCTCAAACATAGATTGTAGGAATCGTAAATGGGTAGCGATATCTCTAGGCTCTTCCAGCTTAAGAAATCGGTTTCATATAACAACAAAAACAACATTATATATGCGCGTACACACACATATATATATTTATGTCTATAAATAGGCTAGTCCAGTGGAAGTCGATTCTAGTTGGATCAGAGGGAATTGCAGCCAAGACGTAGAACTTTTGTAATATTAGCGCAGAATATTTTATTACACAGAAATTTATGCAAAACTCCAGCAGAAATAAAAACAAAAACAAAAGCGAAAAGAAAACAACAATAAAAACTGAGTCAGAAATCAGAAATGCAAGGAAGAAATAGAGGAAGAGGGGTGAGGGGTAGCTTGCACTGAAAGCTTTGGCGACGCGTTGCCGACGGCAAATAAAAAAAAACGCAACACCGAAAAAAAAAACTGTTTTATATGCAAGGCAAAGGCAACGCAGCAGCTGAAGAAGAAAAAGAAGCAGAAGATATTGGCAAGGGCGCAAAAAAGGTTTAAGAGCAGAGCGAAGAGCGGAGCCGAAGATGACTTGGCTAGCAGGCTGAAGTGGGAGAGGAACGCATGCGCAGCTGCAAACGTCGCCGGCGTTGATTTATGAAAGTGCACGAAACGGGACAGAGAGCGAGGGAGAGAGAGAGAGAGAGTAGGTGAAGCTGCCGATGGAGCCGGCGGTAAGGAGACATGCAAATGCGAATCCGGGATGGGCTGGCAGAAGGGGTTTCTGCACTTGTGAAATTTACGAGCTCCCTTTTGTGTACGTGTGTGTGTGGGCGGATGTGTATGTGTGTGCGTGTGTGTGTCGCTGCAACAGCAGCACCCACGCAACGATCTCGCTGTGGCACAACTCACTTGCAGGCCCGGATATCCGTAGGCGCTCTGATAGAGCAGCAGTGTCATATAGACGACGGCAACGGCGAGTGTCATCGCTTGCAGGATTCGTTTATAACGTTGCGGCAGCGAGACAACAGTCAGGCTCATCATATGCTAGCGTCCTCTACGCGAACATCGATCGTGCGATCGAATCGAATAAACGATATGCAATTCGTTAACGGTAAACACTGCACTCTAGTTTATTTTATTTTATTATATTTCTATCGAGTTTATTTTAATTAGAGAAACCAGCTAGGTTTTATTCTGCACTTGTGAAATTTTTGTAACGTTTGCGTATTTCACGTAAAACTCACGAATTATGCAAGCCACACGCGCGCGTACGTCTTGCTTGGGGCGAGTTTGCTGGGCAACTGATGTACTGCGCTCGGCTTGGCTTTCCAGCGAACAGCGTAAACAAAACAAACGCAGCAAAACCTGCAAGACCACTCTGAGCGCTGAGCACGATTGACTGATAGAGAGCGAGAGGGAAAGAGCGTGATTTGATCCAATTGGAAGCGCTGTGCTCATACTGCTGTGCAACAGAGATGGAGCGATACAGCGAGCGCTCACAGTTTTCCAATGGGAGCACGAAACCGAGAGAGCGGCGTTCGTTCGGCCGGTCGTTCGTTGACTGGTTAGTTCCGCCTCGGCATGTGCCACAGTAGCTGCCGAAGGCGATGATCGTCGAGTGTAACTCGACGTGCTCAGCTCGTGGGCGTTAGCGCTGCTGCACTCTCTCTCTCTGCCGCTGTCTCTGCGTCTGCCTCTGCCTCTGCCTATCTCTCTTGCGGCGTATGTTATCCTGCTTGGCACGTCCTTGCACGCGACTTGCAGCCATAAACAACAGCGACGCGGAGCATATCTATTTTTGCCGACTCTCTCGTGCCCTCGGTCGTCCCCTCGGTCGCTGCAGCCGACGACAATTCCATTAAAAGTTGTTCGTTGTCACTTTGCGTTCTTTTATCTGCGTCGCATGTTGTGCGATCGCATTTTTATTGTCGCCATTGTTTTGGATCTCTGTCGCTGTTGCAGTCGCCGTCGCCGACGCAGTCGCACTCACTGCCCACACACACACACACACACACATACTTGCAGCCATGCAAACTTCGTTCGTACCGTTTTTGTCGCTTTTCTTCACTTGACAATGCTTTGCATGGCTCCTTCTCTGCCTCTCTCTAGTCTCTCTGGTTTGGCTGTCATATTCCATGTTTGTGGCGGCGACAAAAGCTCTTGCGGCTCTTGCTGCCAACGTTGACGCTGACTGCGCTGCTCGCACAATCAGCAACTCGGCATCTTGTTCGCTGTCCTTTTGTGCGCCTTTCGCCTGAATTGCATTTAAAGAGGCGCAAACCGCGCTGCTCCGCTGCCTCGCCCCTCTGCCCAGCCTTCTCCATCTCTCGTGCTGCCCCTGGCCCTGCGGCTAGCCTTGTTCTGCCAACTGGAGAAAAAAAGACATCGTCTACCATCGTCCGACCGCTCGCTCGCTCTCCCCAATGCCTGTGTTAACCAGGCTCGTTGCTCCGCATGCTTCATTTTTAATGTGCAATTTTTAATACCCTGTGCAAGTAGAAATATTGAAGGGGTAGCACGGTATGCTAGTGTAGTAAATGAGAATCAGTATACATATATATATTTTTCTCTCAATTTAGAATGAATTGTTATATGTTATGGATAGCTTCTCTTATCCGTAAAGTCCTTATATACATTCAATAACATTTCGGTAAATATAAATAAAAGGCATGCTCAATTTGAAGGCGTGGCTGCCTCTGTTGATGTGGGACAATGTTTATAAGTAGAAGAAGAAGATGAAAACTAAGCAAATCTGTACTGGAAAACACCTAACGGCTAATTACAGGATATCTTGCAGTCGTCATTTACCTAGTGACTAACAGCGCAACTTGAGCAATGTTTGTGTGTATCTGCGGTCTCCCTATGAGTGTGTGTGTGTATGTTTGCATAGCTGCTGTGGTTAGGAGGGCATGTGCCACTGCCTCGACGTTGAACTGAGTGGAGTACAGTGGAGTGCAGTGGAGTGGATTGAAGTTCCTAGTCCTCCTGGCCAAGGCATAGCCGCGTTTTATCGCGCTGGCCTGAACCTTGTTAGGATTGTAAAATGTAAACCGAAGGCGTTGGTTGATCTCCAGCTCCTGCCCCCTGCCAACGTCTGGCTGTTCTGCTATTTTCTCCTAGCTGATCTGGTTGCCAGTTTTCAGCTTTGCGTTGCACTTCAGTTGGCGCTGCGACGCTCGACTGGCACACGCTGCAGCTGGCTGCTTAATCGAAAACGTTCGCCCTGGGGCAGCCACAGCGAGTGGGTGGCAGTCGCAGCGGGGCCATGGGGCTAGGGGGAGCAGCGAGTCAACGACTGTGCGCGTGCGCCAAAGCATTCGACGTGTTCATTTCTTTCTTTGGGTTGCCTCAGTTTTCGCTGTGCATAGGCAAAAATGATGCCCGGTAGTCATGCAAGAGCACGAAATGCGGCAAGCTGGCCTGGCTTGTGGCAAGCAATTGTTGCCAGACATATTTTTTGAGTGCCTGTCTAACGGACTGACTGGAGAGCAGCTGGGGCTGCGGTCTGATTGACTGCAAATCCTGATTGATTGACTGGCAAACTATGGAGTAACTAGTATAGATGCTTGAGAATCGCAAAGAAGGGAAGGGCAGACACAGCTTCAAGCAGCGAGTTTCACTGCTTCTCTGACAGACATACCGACTGTCTGACTAAGTAACCCGTCTGATTCGTTTGGGCAACCCCCAAGCGTGCCACACAACTCGGCCAGAGTCACATTCATCAGTTTGATCTACCGGAGCGGAACGTGTTTCCTTTTCCATATTTGATGCGCATATTGATGGCCACTGACACTAAGCAGCCGCGAGATTAATGGCCGCCGAATTAGTCAGTGTCAAGATATTTAGTGGAACAATTGAACTGTGCCACAGTTTCAGCCTCGGCCCCAGGCTCAGCTCCAGCTGATGGGAAAGACAGCGTCTGGGGCAAGGCCTGCTTAACGTATGCTGCACGTCGCCCACTGGCCATTAGGCAGACTCTTAAAGTCTCAAATGTACGTAAATTACACGTGTTTCAGCCAATTGCCGGTACAAGTTTATCGAGGGCCTGCATTGGAGGCGCAATCAAAATTAATTTCAACATTGTATTCCCATCGATAACATCGATCAATAACTGTCAACACGACGCACGGTGCGCTACATAGCGAGCATGTCGATTTTGGGGTGCTTAAGGATATTTAAATGGTATTATTGATTCATACATTCAGAATCACAGAGAATAGGAGTTATTGTACATATGTAGAAACTTCTTATGTTTTAAAAGTCTTTAGAATCTCTAATAGTAGCAGAAAAGATAAGCTCAAGCAATACTAACCTAAGATTTCTATTAGAGATTCACATAGAAAGGTAAATAATACGCAATCTTTAATCCAATCTGAATTTGGGCTTTGAGAAGCCCTTGAGAATCGCATAGAAAGGTAGTAGAACTTGCATTTAACTGCAATTTTTGACATGTATAAATGAAATTACAAATTACAAATGCAATTAATTACTAATCTGTATTACAAGTTGTTTTTTTACTATCGCCTCTACTGCATTTGTGAATCACATAGAAGCGCATTCTTAGTTCGACTCGAACAATTCTTTTGCTGTTTTGATGCTGCTCCCATGTATAAATTTCGTTTCACCGTCTTATTTTTGTAACAGTTTTTCGATTTGAGATTTTTGTTCGATTTGAGCATGAAAAAGACGTAGCAGAGGAGACCACCTGGCGTTCGCGGAGGCTAATTGCATTGAAGGCAACTCTCAGGCACAAAGAAATGCTGCCAGGTGATGATATCAGCATGATCAAGCACTTAAATAAGTACAAATAATGGAAGAGCCCCCTCCACCGGCCTTCTGCCCGCACCCTAGGCACTCTTCCCCTGCTCGCTTTGGCGCTTTGGTAGAGTTTACAATTTGTTGATTCAACGCGGCATGAAATCGCTTTTCAACTTTTGTTGAACTTTAATTAAACGATTTTTAGGTTTCTATCTATCTCTTTCTCGTTCTCTCGTCTCTCGCTCGTACTCCCTCTATAACTCTTATTGGGGCTTATAGTCTGCCTAACTTAAATTACATTTAAGCGGATTAATTTTAAGTTTCGATTTGTCTAGTTTCTGGGTTTTTCTCGTCTTTTTTGTCTTGGTTTGTCAGCGGCTTTTGAAAGGTCATTAAATGTGGCTAGCTAATTTGTTGGCCAAATACTGGACTACAAACTACGCACAGTTCTTTCCCTTCTCTGCTCGGCTATTTCCCAAAAAATAAACCTAATTTTTTCAATTTACCAAAGCAATTAACAACAAATTTTATTGGCTTTTAAGTTGTGCAAACACTTCGGCGCTGCACAATAAAATCTATCTGTGAGATACACAGCAACAACAACAACAGCAGCACACAGACTTTGCCGCTATTGATCAAGTGTTTGACAACTCTTCAAGATGTGTTTTGTATACCCTATACACGCATGGGATTGAGATGGGACTGAAGTGCTTTTTAGTGTGTGTTTGTAACAGATGGCGGTATATGATATATACAATTAATATTCCAGTCCATAATAGAAATTAAAATACATAGAGCTAAAAACTAACTCAGCTGTTTCCGCACTTGAAATCATCTATATGAATATACAAATATATATGAAAATGATATGATACTATATATACTGCTTGTATCTTTCGGAACTCCCTTTACATTCTGCATGCAATGATTTGTATGACGACAGATCCATTGCTCCTCTCAGAAAAACTCCTATATAGTACGAACTGGTCATACATTTTTCCACCATTCCATTTGTATACGTTTTTTCACTTTTAATGTAAGCATTCATATGAGTGATATATGTATATCTATAAATAAATAATACGCTTGCCATGTCTCACAACATTATATTATTATACCATATAATTTACCATAGAACTTGTTCTCCTTCTGCCTTTACTCACATTCCTACGACTACGTAGCATCTTCTAGTCGTTCATTGCTCGCCTAGTGCATTTCTACTGCTCTTACCTGCGCACTGCAAGTAAGTATTTGAGCATTTCTTTAGAAACTGCGCAGCGAACCAGTTTGTTGTAGGCAAACTCACACTCTCTCCCTCTCTCTAGCTTCTCTCTTTTCATCTTATCATCATTTATAGCCCGCTGTTTGATTATGTGTTTCATTAATTAACAAAGCGAAGCTGGCTCTTGAAGAATCTAACTAACGCCGCATAGTAGATGCGATTCGATATGTCTGATTGTCTGGTTATATGCATCGTCCACACACAGCGTGTCAGCTCTGCCCCTCTCTCTTTTGCTCTATGCCTATCGCTATCTCTGTTCAATATTTTATTTATAT